GTTCCTTTCCTTTGGGTCACTACATCTGGTGACAAACACAGTTCCAAGCTGCATGTGGATTTCTCTGTTCACGGCCCAGCAGTTGCTGCAACTTCTCTTGTTGATTTTCAATTTCAAGGTATCTTGATTGATTGGTTGACAGAACAGTGTGCAGCATAGCCTGATAGGTGCAAGGGCTGATATTCATTATTGACAGAAGTAATCCAGCATTGCCACTTTGCTGGCCATTTTCCCACATAATGTAACCAATTTTGCTGAGCCAGGTCATGTAGGTCTGCATCACTGCCACCTTCCCAAAAACACTTCACCCTCACTTATTCACACTCTTAGCAAAAGTGATCAAGACAGATCAGAGGTGTGCTTCCTCACCAGCGACTTCCCAACTCCCCTCTCCCCAAGCAGAAGGACCGATGCGTTCTGGCCCTTGGAAATGGTGTCCATTACCAGCTGATGCAGCCTGTCCTGCAATCCCTGCAGATGTGGACGGATCTGCATTTCATGGCACTCCGCGCTCCGCAGATCAAGCAGCCGTCTCCGCAGCAGATGACAGATTATGTCCTGAGGATCCCCTGACAAAACTTGAACGGCCAGCACACAAAACAGCTGAGCCGGGGTGCAGATCTTGTTCATTGTCCAATTCTTTGGAGTGCATTTGTTGCATGATGCAGTGAAATCCAAATCAAAGAAAATTTGGCGATGACAGGTGAACAGCACCACCAGCACATTGTTTCGCACCACCGGATCAGTTGTTCCAAACTTAAAAAGAACCAAAAAGGAGCCCAACTTTCCATCAAAAGAAAAGAATGTCTTGCATGAAATTGACAGGAAAAGGATGCTGTTTGCAAAGACTGTTGTGCGAAATTTGTTTTGTCTGTTCATCGTACAGTGAAGTGGCTTGCAATGGGTATCCCCGCAGCTGAGCGAGGCCCTTGGCAAAGACCACTTCCACATTGCGAAAGATGGTGCAAGATGTGGCGTCTGAGGGCAGCAGGAGCAGCATGCAGTACAGAGCAAAGGCCGATGTAGATGATCACAGGTTCGGAGCTTGGAGCAACCAAGCAGCACATGATCATGTTTGCATGCACTGCCTTCTTTTCATCGGAGTGTGGTGCAAAGCAGACCATCGGAAGCAGGGTTTCTGCAGGTTTCTTCTTCAACCTCCTTTTTCTTTTCATTCTCGTTAATTCTCCTTCTTGCCTGCTTGCCCGTTTTGGAAGACTTCCGTTTTAATCTTTTCACAGGGAAGGACAGCACATGGGCATTTTAATGTGATGTTCTGAAGTTAAAGTAATATTCTGAAATTCAAAACGACTGCCACCAGGGTCGTTGTGCATATAGATGGCCCAGTCCTTCTGTCTGGTCTCTGAGCATCAGCCGCTGTTTCTGCATTGTTCAACTGAGCAGTGAGCAGAACGAGGTTCATGGGAAATGGATAAACAAGCTGTGGAGGACATACACATCATAGCCTGCAAGATGCATGGGCTTGGAATTTTTATGGGATGGTGCAGCTCTACTTCACCGCGGAATTCGCCAGCATATATCACCATATCTCCACCAATTCTCACCAGCATCCTCACTGAGCCCGACATCTCCGTTGGCGAATTCCATGCCACCCAATGGACTGCCTGGCACCTCTTTGCCCCCCTGTGACCATGACAGAGACGGAATCAGAACCAAGAACACAAACAACCACTCCCTCAAGTTGTGTACCATACTTGTCGCAACTTACTGCCTTCTCAACGGATCATTATCAGGGTTAACACGGGGTCACCGCAGAATGTAGCATCAAAGTGTGCTGCCCCACTGTGATCGCAAAAGGGACGGAAATATGCCAGGTCAAGTTCAATGTTCAAAGCAGGAGACACATGCCCAGACAATGAACAACCCCCTTCCCAGCAAAACAACGTGAGACTTGCTCCACATCGAACCTGATGATCAGAACACTCCAAAGGCAGGGAAAGGGAATGCAAACGCCCCACTGCACGCACAGCAAGAGCTCCACCCCAATTCAGTGTGCCCCATCAAAAGCCCATCCCATGCTCCCAAAGCTTCCTCAAGCTGATCGCCCTCCATTCTCGATCGCAAAGCGCCATGCGCGTCCATAATCGCCCCCGAAATCGGCTCGCAGCCGCCAGTGGGTCGTACTCCTCGTTCTTCCCCACACACGGCCACCTTGCGGACAACCCAGAGTACATGTTTGTCGTTTGGTGCGTGGACCATGTTTACGTGTTCGTTCTTGTCGATGGTAGCACCTGTGGCGCTGCAAAGCGGAACAGGGCCCTCCGCATACTTGCTTAGGAGGGGGCGCTCCATTGCATGTCCTGTGTTTCGGGGATTTTAATACATCTTGACACACGGCCAAAAGATTCGCACCTGGGGCGCCGCACCCCTGGAGGGGCTCCCGTTGCTCTCGAGGTCGATCGACACCGACAATCCCGAATCGTCGCCGCTCGTCGCCTCGCCGATGGCGATGTCCACGCCAGAGTCCGACATCCCCCGGCCGAGTTACTTTCGCCCGTCTCAGGTCGCGAGAACTGCCTGGGCTGCTTGCCAGATACGCCCTCCTTGGGGACGGGAATGTTTGTTTTTTTAACGATATTCTTGCGCTACGTTTCGATTTTCACCGATACGCCGAGGTTTCGACTTCGCTTCATTTGTGGCGATTTGACGATACTCGCGGGCTGCGTTTCGATTTATATCGATGCACCCGGGTTTCGAATTCTCTTCAAATTGTGGCGATTTAGCGATGCTCCTGGGTGCGTTTTCGATGTCGCAACGATACCCCGGGTTTGTTTGTGTTTTTGTCCCTTACATGGATGCATCGACATGACATCACGGCGTCGGTCAATGGAGCGTACCAATCCAATATGCGAGGGGTACGTCCGGGCCCACCTACGTAGCCGAAAACGCGCCTCCAATGGCGACCACAGCTGCCACCGATACCCCAGCTTTCGATGTTGTTTCGTTTGTGAAGATTCAACGACATTCTTGGGCTGCGTTTCAAAGTTGCAGCGATACGCCAATTTTCGGCGTCGTTTCATTTGTGGCGATTTGAGCATATTCCTGTGCTGCGTTTCGATTTGCATAAATATGCCCAGGTGGGACAATCTTTTCATTTGTGGTGATTTACCGATACTCTTGGGCTGCGTTTCGATTCATATCGATACGACCGGTTTTGCATTTAGTTTCAATTGTGGCGATTCAACGATGCTTTGGGCCTCGTTCATCTGGAAATGGGGATAAGCTACGGCAACGTTGAAGGGCCTTGCTACAACGAAATCTCTGATGCACTGCCTGTCAATGTTGCTACAGTCATAGCACATCAACCCTCCAGCGGCATTTTATCCCTGAGGCCATTGATGCTAACAGGGCATGAATTGAAACACCCCATCAATCGCCATGTTCATTAAAACTACGGCCATTGTTGCCTATATAACGTTGTTGAATGGGCATTGCAGCAAAATGGACAGGCAGTGCATCAACAGACTCGCTGCAGCAAGGCCCATCAACATTGCTACAACTCCATCCCGATTTCTAGATGTTTCGATGCTGCGGTGATACAGCTCCTGTTCCTGTTTCGATTTCGCTTTTGATTGTGGCAATTCAAAGAGGGCTCAACAATATTGTAGTTGTATTTGTATCTGTATTTCCAATTATTACCCCTTGCCTGGGTTGCGGGGGTCCACCAACGAGCATGATGTCCCTCCCAGATCCACGTGCTAGACTATGCCGACTCGGCTTTTCGGGGCAGCGGGGTGGGTAGCAGTGCGCTGTGATGATGGTTTTGGCCGCCGTTTCGACATTGCAATGACAAACAAACGCGCCACAGTTGCTGGAGCTGTAGCATTGTCGATGAAGACACGACAGTATCGAACTATTTCAGCCTCGTGCTCGCCTCTCAGGCGCTGCGAGAAGCCCCGCCACGACACGGCCGACAATGGGGCGCTGTTGGGGGGCCGGACTCCACGAATAGTGGCAGAATTTATATCCATCTACAAGTGCATTTAAATGTGTTTTAAATGTATTGAAATTTTAATACACTACCCCTGTCTCAACAGTCGTGTCCGATCACCAAATTGTACATACTGGGATCAATTGTTCCAACACGTGTGGGTCAGAAAATCCCACTGAAACAGCTTTGAAGCGCCATATCCAGAGCTATTTTTAGAGAGCTCTACAAACGCTCCAAACAATGCTAACGTTGTTGTGATATGTCAAGAGGAGCTGAAACGCAATTTTCATTTTTTCCGGATACACCTCTCTTCTAGTGACATCTCAGATCAATCCACCTGTGCTTGGGGTCAAGTCGAATCTTTGGTGCGCACTAATGATTCGACTTGATCCCAAACAGAATTTGCAAGGGAAAGGATTGGAGTTCCCTGCCAAATCTGGGGTGTTAACGACAATCGCGCGCAGGTGATGGGTAAGGGGCCAAGAAACACCTTGTCAGTGCAAGGGCATCTGTCTTGCAGATTTGCCTAGGTTTTGAAGGCTGTACATACTCACATCAGCCAAGTGAACGCCCTAGATTGAAGCAGACTCGGCCAGTTGTTGTAAATAATAACTTCAACAGCACAATTCAGCATACTAGAAGAGACAATCCCCCCAAAGTATGATCGCAACGGTATTAAAATGCTAAAAGGGTGCAGTAGTGCCTATTTGTTGTCTACAACAAGTTTCTCAATGAATTTCGGTGAATTGGGTTGGGGGACATACCAGAATATGGCCAATGCAAGAATGCAGGGAACTGAGGGCCCGCATGGAACTGAACAGAGGCATTTATGAATAGGTTGTAAATGCCATGTTTTATGGTGGTGACCAACATAGTAAAGATCCGCATCAACCTAAAATCAACAAAAAGAATACAAACACGGTGGCAGGTTGATTGATGAAGTTGATCTTGCCAAGTTCTCGCAAGAATTCGAGATCGGACACTGTTCGAGTGCCATGATGTTACAAACAGCTGACAAGGGCCGACAGGAGGATGTCTACACTTAGGAACAGCAATATGGCTCAACGATCAGCCATATGCGCTCGATGAGAGTCACCAAAAACACAGCCACTATCACAGCCCTGTCAATCGCCCCCGATTTCTGAACGTACCACTCCTACACTTTTAACAACTTAGCTCATAGAAGCTCACAGGACAAAGAAAACCGCCATAGCATGCACATTCAAGCCCAACAGGACTCTTGGGGTATTGTCAAGCGCTGCCGAAGCGAGGCGCAACCCCAGCACTGAATTTCTCTCAGCTGCTTAATGCTCTGCCTAGCAGCGGTAATTCATCACCGGTCAACGAGGCGACTCCCTTCGCCGCCTTTCACAGCTCCTGAAACTTCGTTCAGTAAGCCGCCAGCACTTCAAAAGACTCCACGCAGCTTTGCCATCGTCGCGCACTGGTCGTTCACCAGAAACTTCCTTCCAATCCACTCGATAGTCAAATCGCAGGCGGCAAAGACGCCACTGGACAGCTGCCAGCACTCCGCCTCGTTTCCGTCCCCACAACGTAGAGTGAACGCGAACGTTCCCTCCCCCTCGTCCGCCGCTCGCCAAGCCGCGGTCGAGTCCACGGCCCCGAAGATCCATCGGTTAGGGAGGCCGGAGCCGCGGATGGCGCCCCATGCCAAAGCTCCACCGGCCCCCGCCTCGCAGCCCTGCTTGACGAGAAAGGCTGCCTCACTCGGGACGAGGGCCTGCCCAGCTCGCGCGTTCCTCGTGCGGCCAGGTCTGGATGCACCTCGCCTTGTCGCGGGATGGGCGCCATCCATCGAGTGGGGATGTGGCTGGGCCCTGCCATCGCCCCCTCGCCAAACTCCCCGTCCGCGTCGCGACACGCCGGGACCCAATCCGGCAGCCTGCTCCTCTTGACCCGCACCATCAGCCCATCTTTCAGTGCTTTCCGCGGTGAAACGGCAGCGTCGCTCCGTTCGGACCAGTCGCAGGTCGCGGGGCGCGGAGGCCTTGTGGGCGCAGGATGCGGGGATGTGACGAACGTGTACGACGCAGTACAATACAAAAATTACCAAAGGGCAGTTTCCCATACAGTTGGTAAGCAACAAAGTATTGTCAGCAGCCGCACACCATGTCCTATCACGACTCACTGAACCCTTACGTCCTGTCAGTACCTGTCCTGTGAAGGTCTTAGGACCTTTTGAAAAAGTCCAGGTCCGTTGAATGACAACCCCTACGGTCCATGGCGTCCTCAAAAAGGGGCCAGAATTTGGCCTTCTTTCTCTGCGAAAGTCACCCAAGAGCTCCCTACGAACAGACCAGCCTTTTTTTCAAGGGTGCTTTCCATCGGGCCTGTACACACTACGGCCCCTTTCTTTCCGTCTGATGTACCTATAGCCTCAATTCTGTGTACTGGAAATGAGTGACTCAAAACTGTATTGCATCCCGTCAACCTAGGGGTCCAACCAAACTAGTTACTGCCCTTTTCCTTGGCAAAATGACAGCGCAGCCGTAGATGACCGTGCTGCCCATCGACTGGCCTTAAAATGACCCAAACTACACAGGTTGGGCTGGCTCTGATTATCCCAATCACAGATTCACAGAATAGGGGAAATCTAAGCCTAGACCGCTTTGAGTCAACCGTACTGGAATGTAGCTGACTGCGCACACGTTTTTTCTTGTGTACTGAGCAGTGACAGGACTATCAGAATCAGCCATCTTAGTACGTTTCAAGGGAAAACTGGCCGACTATGTCCGTACTCTTTCCCACCATCTTTTACTCGATTACAGCGATGGCCATTAAATTGAATAGATTGAACTGTAATCGAACAACACGACTTCTGAGACGGAGGTAGTATGTAATTTTATGCTTGTAGATGGACAAAAATGCATTTATAATCTGCACAGAAGTGGATATGTAATTGCATTGAGACTGCAATTGAGAAGGCGTGTGCCGCAGGGACCACGGAGGGGCGACTGGCGGGCCCCTGTTTGGTCGATGCACCGGGCCCTGCGCCCCAGTTTTCTCGATCCCAGCCCTGGCAACCGACCCATGAGGCGCGGGCGAAACTGACCGCCCCCGCAGCGGCCCCCCAGGCCCGGCCAGCCATGGACGCTCCGGAAGACGTGGACGATTTGTCGGAGCACTCTCCCGACGAGGATGAGCTCTTTCGCTCGGGCCAGCGGTTCGATTGGGCGGAGGATGTCGAGGAGGCGATCGTGACGCGCAGCCTGGACGACGACGGCTGCCTGAGCCAGACCCTGCTGCAGAACACTGCTCCGAAAACGCCGCCGTTGAATCTGGCCTCGGGGCTCGCCGCTGCGAGGAGGGGGCGGCGGGGGGCGAGGGGATCTGGCAGGAAGGGGGGGCATGGGGAGGATGGGGAGAAGAAGGGGAAGGGGGGGAAATCGGCGAAGGGAGGCAGGGGGGATAGGAGGGCGCCGGGGGGGAAAGCGGGCCAGGGGGAGGGCACCAGGCCGCCGCTGTCGGGCCGAAGCCAGTCGAGAGGTGGGCTTGTCTCCTGTGTTCGTTTTTCCTTGGGGGCGGGGTAAGATTTATTGCAGAGAGAGAAAGAAACAGGTCACACAATGGGCAACCATCCTAAGCAAGTATATGCGAGGCCCTTGCCAATGCTGCGAAAAGATTACATGGAGTCTCCGACGCGAAATGATGAGCACGCAGCGCAGGCAACGCTCGGGGTGGGTGGGGAGGGCTTAGCGGGGCGCGTGCTCGATTCGGGGCAACTTTGTTGGTGTGGGTGGGTGGGCCGAGCGCGGCCCGGATTTGTTGATGACCTTCTGCTGGGGATTGGGCTGAATTCGTGACTGTGCGTTCGTTTTGACGTGGGTTGGTGCGGGTGGAGGGGGGGAGGGGCAAGATTGGATACACAGAGAAAGAGAAACAGGCCATACAAAGGGCACCGCCTCCTGGGCAAGCGTATGCGAGACTCTTTTCCATGCTGTGAGAAGATGATGTACGGTCTCGCGGAGGGTAGGGGGGTGGGGGGGTCCTCGAGTTGGAGCTTTTTTGTGGGACTGGGTGGGTGGGGCAAGCGCGGACTGGTTTGTCGATGTTCTTGTCCTGGAGATGCTGCTGAGTTTTGCGACTGAGTGTGTCCGCGTGTGTGTATGGGGGGGGGCCCTCTGATTGCTGGGCTCGCAGAATTGCTCTCTGGGCTTTGGTGTTTGGCTGAAAGGCCTGATCTCCCAGCGCGACCTGCGGACTGCTCCCGGGCTGGGGCGGCCGGGGTTGCCGGCTCACGAAAGAAATCCGAGACGAATCGGCAACCAACTCGACTTGGCATGTCGGTATGTTGCTGGGTGGGTATCTTGGTACGACTTGGCTTGTTGGCCTGCCGCAGGCACCCCGAGGTCCGCCCGCGGCCAGCAGCAGCCCCGCCGGTGCAGCAGCGCGAACGACTTCCGCCTGTGGCCGGGCGCGCAGGTCGCCAGCCCGCGATGCGACAGCGCGCGGGGCGGCAGCCGGAACGGCGGCAGCACGAGCGCCCGCGGCCAGTCGAAGCCTTCTGGCGGAAGCATGAGCGCCAGGGGCCCGCCCAGGAGCCCCAGCGGGAGCCTCAGCGCTCGAGGATGCCAGAGCGCCCGCGGCAGCGGCGGCCAGGGCGCGGGGAGATCCCGAGCCGATCGATCGTCGGATTGGAATGCCGACAAGGGGGGGGAGGGGGGGGAGGGGGCCAGGGGGCCCTCCTGGAGGTCCCAGCCGCCGCGGACGCCGAGAAGGGGAGGCGGGGAGCGAGGGGATGAGGGTTGGTGGAGGAGGGGGGGGCCGGGGGAGGAAGGGGACCAGGAGGGGGCGGGGGGAGGGGGGCGGGGTGGCAGCAGGAGGCTGTGCAGGAGGGAACCGGTGGGGAGTCAGGGCAGGTGGGTAAGATTTGTTACAAAGAAAGTAACATTTCCTAAGTATGGTGTGTGGTTGTCCGCAAGAACTAACTCACTCAGCGCTGTAGAAACACAGCATGTCCTGATCACGTTGGTCTCATGGCAGAGCAAATGCCCTTGCACCAAATTGGTGATGTTAGGCAGAACAGGGACAGCAGGTGGGTGAAAGCTGTTGCATGCCTGGGGGAAGTGGGCCTGCAAAGGGCAACCTCCCTTGAGCAGGTGCTTGTGGGGCATTTGTGCATAAAGCGAAAGGTTGTAGAGTCTCCCAGTGCAAGATGGTGAGCAAACAGCACAAGCAACGTGACACTGTGGGCCCAGTGTTACACATGTAGACATAAGTGCTGTATCAGGGAGCCTTCCTTCTCTACAAGAGTGGCCCTATTTCAGCTGCCGAATTCCTTTTGAACATAAGGCTTCTGCATCCAGCATGTTTGTCACAAATGTGACAACATGTCTATTCTCGTATGTGCTAATGTGGTACAAATTGTGCTAATTCTTCTCATCACTTTGAGAGTTGCAGTGGTAGAAGTACATGGCCAGTAGAGTCATGCTCAGCAGGCTCTGCACTTTTTCAAATCAGCATACGAACAACAATGCAATTGTGCAGTTTGCATTTTACCCTCACATCTATTGACAGTTTGCAGCAGACAAGTTCTTGGCATTCAGCGGAGTCAATCAATCCAGCCCTATGCACCCTTTCAATTCTGGGTCATTGCCTTGCTATATAGATCGCAAAATCATGGGATTGCAAATGGCACAAGCCTCTTCTGATGGAAGGTGGTTTGGGTGGCTTAAAATGCGATGTAAATATGGAGGAGCAAGCCTGGCGAGCCAACTGCCAGTGGTACCCAGGGCTGTTCAGAAAGAATGGGAATATCTAGTTGTTGGGAACAAGTACTTATGAAAATATACAAACGTAGCACGACACCACCTGGCGGACGCAAACTGCGTTCCTTACGCATGCTGCCATGCCTTGGACGGATATTCTTGTTTTTCGCTTAGCAGCAGTGCTGAGGTTTTATGACTGTACCAGTCTGCTTGTGCTACTGCTTCTACTTCAAACCCTGGAAAACCTGAAACTAGCCAGGGTTATATGACTTTAGCCAGGGCTGAGGACTGTGTGGCCTTGTGACTACTAGACCTTGAGCTGCACCTACCTCCTGCTGCAGCAGTGTTGGGGTCCAGGTCAACTTAGGATGTCAACTTAGGGGTTGTGGGATTCTGGGCCCTGTCATGGTTTGCATTCACAGCAGTAGTCAGCAGCGTGTTTTCCAGGGTACTCGCTGGACAGCATTCACTAACGTTGCTGATGCTATTTATAGATCTCATGTCCACCCTTGTTCGACTGTCTGACTTCCCTTGACTGCTATACTTGATTCTGCGACAGGGATGTCTGCACAACTGCAGGACCAGTGCATTAAGCTGGACGTCATGGGGTTCACTGTTGCTCAGGTGTGTACAGTCCTGCCATTGCTTGTCAACTTTCGTGGAGTTGATTTTGTTTGCATTCTGCGATGTTGTGGCTGCTTCCACAACGAATCGAAGTGAAATGTCAATGTCGAAGATATGTCAATGTTGGCTGATTGGTCTTGTGCCCGATGCCAGGTGATGCACTGATGGCTGATATTTGGAGGGGCAGCTGTGTTTTGTCAAAGGGGACTGGAATAAACAGGCGTCCATGCAATGTCAGAATGCCATTGTGAATTTGAATCATCAGGAAAGGGAACGGCGTTAGCTGTCTGTATGTGTGGGTTTTTTTATTGCATCGCTCTTTTAGGGTTTTGGGGTAGTGCAAGGACCTGGGGATTCTTGCTGTCTTGGATGCCTTGGGGAATGAGCATTCGCCAAATTCTACGGCTGCCTGCTTTTGCTGATCGTGTCCTTCCATGGTTGGAGAAGGCGAGAAAGAACCCCCCTCATCTGTCTGCTAGTCGGTAGCTATGCAGTGTGCCGGCCAAAATTGCAGCCTGGCTGCGTTAACGGGGGGATGGAGGTTGTGCGTGTGTTGTCATGGCAGTCACAGATTTGTCGTCATCCTCGACGGGGATATGTAGCTAGTTCCCGTGAAGTCGACCATTGTGTAAAGACGTTGGAAATGCAGGCTCCAATGAGCACAGGCTTATTGTGTGTTTTTTCCTTTGTTCAAGGCTGTCTTGCAAGAAGAAAGAACACCGTTCAACTTCGTGTGCTATGACGACCATGACCTCACACACACACACACACCCCGCACCCACCCAAGATATGTTTCTTCTTTACTTTTGTAGTTGCCTCGCTGTCCAGCCGCCTCCTATTTTTTCCGCCGATGTGTGACCCAGACATGCATTCGAATGAAATAGGAACGTCATTGCCTGTTCACGAAGCTCTGTCACAATGAACGGAACTGTAGTGAATGTGCGCGTTTTCTTAAACTTTGCAACGTGCTTTGAATGCTCCAGCGGCAGACGCTCATGCTGTTTGAGAAACGCCACGAGGTGGGCTTGGTTGCGGGGCTTGCGGTTTGGTGAGTGAGTCGCTGCCCTTCCGGTCTCCTTCAAACCCCACCCCACCTCACGCCCAACCTAAACCCATCCCACCACCAACCACCCTCCTTGTTTCCCACACAGCAATCATTCAACGCTTGTACTTCAGGTGTCCGCCACCACACTAAATACAAACCCGAGGCAGGGCACTTCAAATTGGCCCCTTCAGCGTACTTTGCACCATACTGAAGCGTGACTCAACTCAAGTACACGAAGGACAGAAAGTCATAGGTCTGACGCAAACGGGCCGCACTCGAGGCAGCGCCGACCAAGGACCTGTCGGCGCACGCCCGCCCATCATCCTCAGAGAAACCCATGAACAGGTTATGTAAATTCAACCATATTCAAACCGGATTTGGCCGTCACCAATTCAGCTCATTGGGACGAGTTGCAGCCGACTGGGATCTTCAACACAGCCCCTTGTCCAATTTCCTGTTTGGGATGGACCAAGTGCCGTGGTTGTATGATCACCTGCCACCCCGTGAATAACTACAGCGTCCCGTCAACGGAACTCTTGCTCATGTGGTCCCAGGTGGCAACGTGCGCCTGTTTGCATCGCCTTTTCATTTCTCGATCACGAAGCCGGTGCACGCCATGGTCGATAGCATGGAGCGGTATCAACAGTAACCAACCGAGCGTCCTGCCTTGTGCCGACACAGATGGTATATTTCGACGATCGATGGCTGCATGCCCTTAAGAACGTTAACAGGGTCGCGCAGCGCCATTTCAGCACGATTGCCGTGCCTCGCACATTCTGTACCACTGTGCGCACATTCCTAAGGAATTGACTGTGCCCGTGTGTACCGAATTCAGGCTTCCATCACCACTGTCCAGTTGCCAGGGATATGGCCATAACCTGGATGTGTATGTCCAGGATATGCAACTTTTGTCCGACGTGGCTGACTCAGGCCGTTCCATGCAGTGCATACATCGCGCACAGCCGACACCCTTCGTTAACAAGTTACATGAGTGATCCACCAGTGAAACTGTGGCCGTTGTATGGCTTCATAAGCAACTGCAAATTCACCATGGTGCCGCCCAGAACGACGCACAAGTTTCTGCAGCAAAGAAGTAAATCGCCTCGAGAACGGGCTGAGTAAATGCTTGGATGGGGCACCCTCAGCCCACAATGGATGCCGAGCTCCAGCCATCCACAAGGCAACGAAGCTACCACCTCCCCCTCCCCCCTTTTCTTCTGGTTTCTACCACTGCATCCTTTCGCGGCTATCACCCGTTAAACGTGTACCACTGGTCACTTAATCCTGGTACGTCAGGATGGACTCGTGACTAACCCTGGAATATAAAAATGGTGCGTCGCCCCGCCCGAGCTATGTTTGATACCCTGCTGGATTGCGTCATAGATGCCGGACAGCAACCGGTCTGCTCGTAATACAGATGCACGCATCTGGAAAGAGGGACACTGTGAAGCAAGCAATGGAAGACGGTGCGAGGGCCTATGACTGATGAACGAGGAAGCACAGAGGCTCCTGCCTGGAGTTTTCTGCACGATTGGCAGAGTTGCATGCTTGCTAATGCGCGTAAAGGGATTTCATTGAATGGCATTGGACTAGGGAGGCAGTTGGTACATATGGGGCAGGAATTCAGTGCATGTGGTGCTGATGTGAAGAACGGTGGCAATCTCAAGAGTGTTGTACATACAGAGCTTGTGTAAATTATAGGTACACTTGCCCTGGTGACCAAGAAGGATGAACTCTGGGGACGTTCGTGTCATGTGGCGACGGACCACTGCACCCATCCAAGGTTCAAGAGAGTTGGAGGTGCACCTAAGAAAGGGAGTTGCCATAGCTACGACAAGGCCTGCCAACATACTTAAGCGTCCGGCATGACAGACTATCACACTGAAGAAAGGCCTGTAAGAATCTAAGAACACGGAACGGTTGGCCAGACAGCTATGGCCATGAGCGGGCAATCAGCGTGGCAATTTTGCAAACATTGAGACACCCGCTCGACGACGGAGTAAGTATCCAGTGTTATTATGAGATATTTCTAACAGTCACCCGCCCTCTGAAAGGACATTAGTCATATCTACGGTTCGGGCATCAGAAGCGCTGCCATAGTTTTGGTAAAAGGCTTTATATACAAGGTTTCAGTCAGCAGAGTTGCTGGCATGAACTGTGTATGAACTGATGCAGCAGTATGGAGAAGCTGGGACAAGTGCAGACTAAAAGTATTGACGCTGCACATTAAAAAGAAGTGTTGAAGACGGCT